TCTTTCCCTATTAAGAGGATCCTTCCTGAGTTTATAATCATTCGAACATCAGTTTAAAAAAAGTGTCTATAAAGTTTGTGAGCATTAAAGCATGTGTTTTAGTACACTCTGAAAGTTTTGATTCTACTAATAAGTAAGCTATCAAACTCAGGTCCCTCACATGTTGGGTTCTTTCTGTTGCTTATTCAATTATGATTCTTTCAATTTTTCAACACAGTTTAAATGCATTTTCAGAGCTTTAAGTAAGCTATCAAACTCAGGTCCCTCATATGTTGAGTTCTTTCTGTTGCTTATTCAATTATGATTCTTTCGATTTTTCAACACAGTTTAAATGCATTTTCAGAGCTTATTAATGTTATTTCTTATATTTCAACTTCATTTTTTAGTCATGTTTTACTCCAGATAGTCCTTTCAATTCGTTAAGACAATCTTCTGTAGTACTAGGACTACCCAAAACACTAAGAAAGGAACATATTGGTGCCATATGAGATATCATTTTTGAGTCTTTTACACCTACGAGTCTTTGCGTGCCTATATGAAAATTTGCAAAAAAGATTTTTCCATTACATTAAGAAAGTTGGATAAAAGTACAAGTTTGGCGGTACTAATCTTTGGCTCGGAATGGATTAAAAATGCAATGTATTGGTTTTCTCCCTTCCGCACCGAAATAGAAAGGCATGTATGAAACTCTGAGCATACATCACAAAAAATTACATGAGCAATAATTGACTTCTTTTGAGAACAAGTTCTAGCCTATTTTAATCCATATGAAACACTCTTAGCACAGGAACATCTACTAAATTTGACATGGTGGCTTCAATCAAATCTTAATCATCCCTTCAATCCAGCTTGACTTGGTAGATCCACATTAAACCAATGAGCCCTACCAAGCAAAATCAAACCAGCCTTTCAAGTAATCGGTTTCTAATTATATTAATATCATTGTAGAACATTTAAAACCATATTTAAATCAAAACACAATGACCCTTGGTTAACCCAACATTAAGAAACATAGTTAGGTCCATTTGAAACAGATTTAAGACCCTTTCAAGAAAATAAGTTTTAAGTAAGCGTGGGTGGCCCAAGGAACACTAAAATCAGCCCAAATTCAAATCTACCTTAATTGGGTTCATGACTCATTCATGACCTGTAAGGCTACCTTGAACCAAAGAAATCCAAAATAAATTCTGAATCCAATCAGCCCTGACTAGTCCTCTTCTAAGGCTTTAATCTAACAGATCAAGCAAGATTCAAAACAAATGTTCCCCAATCAAGTCAGTTCACGATCCACTAGATACCCCAACTCGAAGGGATTTATGTAGACAATCTTTGTTCTTGGTTGGAAGTCAAGGTCGAAGTCATGAACATCATTTCCTTTGATTTGGAATGGATAATAGTGATCACGCCATATAGGAAACTGTAATCTCTCAAGTTAAGACCGCAGGCACAACCTAAACCGTTCCATCAAATTTCCCTTAGTTAAAATCACAAGCACGATTCTAGTCATTCAATGATTGAAAAGCCCATATTAATCCTATGTGGGCATATAGACCCTGCCTCACTCGCAGCAGGCCAATCAATGTGCTCCACACATAATTCGCAAGAATGATATTTGTGTTTATAGCTTTACATGCCCGGTTACTTTCTGTTTTTGGTCATAAATTCTCATTTCTCATGCACTTTTGACTTTATTTTCATGGTCATTTTGCATAAAATTTCTATTTCCCACGTACAGCAATTTTAATGCCAGGGTTTTATTTTAGGAAATTCTGACATTTTGAATGCATCAAATGTCTTTAGTACAAAATGGGAGATGTTCAAATAAATTTTATTGCAATGTTTAAATAGATTTTATTATATTTCAAATGAATCAATACACATTTATCATGTTGAATGGGTTTGACATATGGAACATGAATGGGCATCATTAATAGCGAAAAAATAGGAAATGATTATAGGTAACTCTACATTAGCATACAATTACATCTCAAACTAAGGTTGACAAAGTCTATGCAAAACAAATATTCAGCAAGCACAGTTAAGCTACAACTACTTAATACATGTTGACCAACCTTAAGCACAGGACGAAGATAAAAACTTCCAGAAAATAAATTCTCAAAGGTGAAGGTTCCTCCAGCACCACTCACTGAGTTGTTCCTGTATCCATCTTCACCACTCAAAGACAACAGAACAGAAGGGAATAACCCTACAGTCTCTCCGCTATCATGAACGTTCACCACAATTTTCCCAAGTTTCTGACAAGTAAATGAATTGGGCCCAACTTGTTTAACATGGTATCCAGGCTGCAGCAACAGAAAACAAAAGAGTATAAGATCAACATCAACCTCCCATTTTGTTATTGCAAAAGAAAAAAAATCAAATTATAAGGCGGAGATGAGGTATCTTGGCCCTAAAATCAGTTATAAATTCTCCTCATTTATTTTACAGATAAGAAGTGCCATTCACATAAGTTAAAAAGAAAAATTATTAAGTACACTATCCAAAAAACTAATATCAGGATACAAATTAGCCTTCTGTAACAGAATAAACTAACACTATCAAACAAGCTATCAAGATATTTTCCTTTTTGATTAAAATAAGATCATTCATGCCTGCAACTTCCTAGTAGTTCCTTGAAATTAAAGTGGAAAATCAGAAGGACCCTCTTAAATATAAATGGAATGACAGAACAAGCAGATTGCAATCCTGATCAATGTGGAACGAGTCCATTTAGGAAATGCAACAATTCCAAATATGGGCAACATTAGAACAGGTATATGCATAGGTTTATAACCTAAGAGATACAAACCTTTGAAGCTTCAACGGTGTAACGTATATCATCAAACAATGGTCCAGCAGAAAAAGATCCATCAGCCCCTGTCTCTGTAACCAAAGCCAAATCACCAGTTCGTAAAGGAGAATGGATGCTCTCACCAGCAGCTATAATTCTAATGTTGACACCATCAAGGGGTGGAGAGACTGACCCTTCAACATACATCCCCATTCGACCAACAATTATGGGAATAGCAGCCTGGCAACCATCATTTGTAACTGATACCTGTCAATCAATAGAGTTAGAAAAGATTTTCAATGCAAAAAGACCGTTGCAGCATTAATATATCATGCATATACATACATGGCGCTTTCTTGGATAAAACAGGATCTTCTTCCCATTAATAGCACTGCTACATCCAAAAGAAAAAAAGAAAGATAAGCTGCTTCTAAACTACAATTTATGTGCGTCAATAAATATGCAGATCACACAATCAATAGGTCTAGTAGAAAATCCAATATTTGTTATTATCTAAGAACTCCAGAAGCATGTAGCGCATGGTTACGATGAAAATCTTCAAAATGACATTTGCCTCAAACATTAATTATAAAGAGTGAATAACAAGCTAAAATCAGCCGAAATTATATATCAAATAAGATAAAATATTACATGAAATTTAGGAGCTATGTGGGATCCCTTTTGTTTTCGGTTTTTGTTTTCCATTTTTTGTTTTAATTTGTTTTGTTTATGTATTGATTAAAATTAAAAGATGTCTCCTTGAGCTAGTTGTTTCTATAATCGTCCAAAACAACATTTAGGTTTCTAAGTATTTTTAAAAAAAAGGTTGATTTATTTTTTAAATAAAAAATAAAAAAATTATAATTTATAACCAAACATATTATCAAAAACAAAATAAATAAAATAAATAAAAAAAGTGATGCAGAATGGGCCCTTGTTAAAGTCATGGATCTCCAGAATCATCATCAATGAGTGTTATTCTTTTCGCAATAATTTAGGGATAAATTTCTGAAACCCCTTTTTCCATTAACTAATGTTGAGTATTTATGTATCCTCAAAGCCTATTCACTCTGGTTTAGTCATTATCTCTAGAATCCTAATCAATTATCAATGTATTAAGGAAGGCATATTAACATAAAATGAAAAGCATTTTAATGAAACGTTCTCCAACAAATTACTTGTATAAACAGGAGGCCAATGGCACGTGGTCAGGTTATTCCTCCTAATAAATACCGAAAAATCAAAATGCAAACACTTGAGGGCCTCCGTAGCAATGAAACACTGTCTAACTGGATAATGCTAGAAGCTGTAATTTGCAGGAGAAATGTTACACGCAGCTAGCCATGGTATCCGTAAGTGGAATTTCTTGTCACTAGATGCTAGTAGTTATCTTTTCATATAAACCAAATGAATAGGAGAGAGAAAAATTGGTCTTGGAAAGAAAAAAAAAAGGCCAGCGTTACTTCTTCTATGCTTTAATGCCACACAAATATCAATACATAATCGTTAAGCCAATACATAGGTCTGACATTAGCCCGACTAAAGACAACCATACTCAGTTAAAAGGGTATTTAATTCAAGTTTGAAGACTTCTCTAAAACCCAATATGATTACCTGACCTGATTAAGATACACCAAGTCATAACCCAAACTAAAGTCTAATCCGAAGAAACTCATCCTGATTGAATTAGATTTATAAAATCCTTCAACTTTTAATCAATGAGTCAGGCCCGAAGAGCCAAAACCAAATTCAAATAAAAGTCTCTTCAAATCTCTCCTCTACCTTCCACAGTTGTTTCTTTACAATACACATCCCACTTTTGATTTGTGAACTCATCAATGTTCTATGCCTCCACTTTTTGTGTCGAATCCTACCATCAACCCTCTCCTCATCACCTTTCACTACATTCATACCTCACAGATGGCTAATACCTTACTCCATCCCAGTACTCAAGCCACACCAACATTGCCGGAACATTTCATACTCAAGCATGTCAGTGCAAAACTCCCTCATTTCCAATGCTCCGCTTTTCTTGTGGCCCGCTTTTGATGCTTGACATCTACACTACATCCCTGTCCAACACTGGCATACTCCTCTTATTTCCTTTAATGTTCACGCCCACCACCTTCGTAGGATTGCTCCTGGCATGCGCACCAACATTGCCATCATTTCTGCTCTCACTGCCAAGGAAAAAAAAAATCAACTGTAATGAATAAATTTTGTAAAATTTAAACGGTTTCAAGTACTCAGGTCATAAACTTAGATTTAGGTTGATCAACCTTTCACCTAGCCCAACACTTTCAAAGGAGATAGAGAGAGAAACAGACCATACAAAAAAACAAGTATTCTGATTTTGAAAATGAGAAGTTTCAAGGAAACAAAGCAGTTCAAAACCGAATACTAGACTCTTAACTAATTTCTAGAAGAACTTTTAACTAAACACATATCCCAAATCACTTGCTGTGATCTCTAATGCAATCATTATCTAATGGGATTGCCAATTGATATCATCACTTTAATTTCAAAATGCATGAAGTCCACAGAAATTCGATACCATTACAATTATTGATCTTCCTAATACTACTGTCCAATTATTACACGAATTTTTGTAATATGTAAATAAAAAAAAAAAATAATTTGAAACTAAGGATGATTTGATAGGAGGCATGGAGCAGGCGCTACTTTCCACCATTACAACCTGGCAGTCACATTTGAGTTATGGAAATAACATCTCTGCTACTTTGTAAAGGTAAGACTACATACAACAACCCCTCAGATCCTACATTAGTAAGAGTTTCACAAACAGGTAACACCCTTTTTTTTAGTTTGACAAAAAAAATAGTCTGCTACAAAATCAATAAGAGATGAGACATTGTCATGCTAATGACCGGATGCAAGTCACAGGCATGACCAACAAAAATAGGCAAGGCGGACAAAATTATATCACACAAGTTGCCATACAAAACCTGTGCCAACTAAATTGGTTGATGCCTACAGATCCATCACCATAGAGTCCGAACTCCATGGTAAGATTTTTTATGTAGAATATAAAGGTTTAGAAGGAATAGAATTAGTTATCATAGTTTGTTACTAGGAAAAATTCATAATTTTAAAATTGTTAAAAGCAGAGGATAAACAAAATTCAGGTGTTTGAGAAAATCTTTGATGACAATTATTAAATAGTTTCTGCGCTTGTTTCACATTAATGCCAGATTTTTTGCTTAGGCGTCCTGCCATCACTTTTGCAGCCATTAGAAACAAGAAAAAAGCCAACATGAAAATGGTAAAAGGAGCTGCTACAAAATCTCTCTAGTCTAGCCTATGTTATTGCAGAATCTCAAATGTGAAAAAGGAACAGTTGCCCTGGTACAGGTAGAAAAGATAGTCACAAAATTATATAAAGGGGCATTTACACATAGTTCTTATGGATTTATATATCGCACCTATACTTTCATATTTACAAACATAGCACTCAAATCTTTAATATCACATCAAAAATAACACTATTACCACTTTTTAAAAGTGAAATACATATTTTCATTCATAAGTTCTAAAACACTAAAATGATATCTATGTAAATATGTAAGTTTGGATGTGAGATATGAAAATAAATACGAATTGTGTACTAGGTATGTAAATTTCCATTATATAAAATGACAGACATTTTACCTTGAGTACTGAGGAACGAAGATGGTTTCCTCACCAAGATTCAACCAAAACGAGTACTCAAATACCAGTGTGCCTTCAAGGTCTTCCTCAGTCAAAACATGCCGAACATGAGTTGTATCAATAAAAGCATCATCTTTATTAAAAATGTCAACCAAAAGGTGTTTAGATGGATCTTCGATCCCTTGAAGTAAGTTGGAGTCGATGTGGATTTCTCCTCTAAGATGGTACTTATCTCCATTGACATAAATCAGCTGTAACATTAAACACAAACCTATGAGTACACAAGATTTTAACTCATCATGTGTATTTCATCAGCTAAAATAAACGGAAATGGAAAGAAACTTAATGTACCGTCAAATTCATTGTATTAAATTTCAGAGATGGGCTCCCAAAGAAAATGCAGCTATTAAGAAAGTGAAGCTCATGCTCCCCAGGATTCTGCAAACAAATTTTTTGAGACCCTTTCTGCAAGAAAAGCCCAGGAAACTTCAGATGATTTTTATAGAAAAATTATGTCTAGCATAAAGTCAAAGCTAGTTCTTAAAGCTCTTTTTTTTTTTAATAATCAAATAATTACTGAGGATCAACAGAAAGGCTAACCTTTATCAACAAATCAATACGGGATGAATCGGGTTGCTCGATCTGTGCTTCTGTATCATGAGTAGAAACAATTCTAACCCAGTAACCTTTCTGAACAAAAACAACATCTTTAACATCCTGTGTGCCAACATCCAAGTCAATAATGTTCCGCTCCCAGCACCAACTGTCCTCATCAGTTGCGGCTGTAGAAATGTGCTTGACCTAAATGTTTCATATAAATTCTAAATATTTTGTTGTTTCCAAAGACAGTAAAAGATGAGAACAATAACAGAAAAAGGTTGATGCTCATATTTTTAGTGGGCGCTAGATTAATAAATTATCTATCAATGTAATCAAATAATGAAGTGAATCTTAGGTGTGAAGAATCTTGAACCTATTATATAGAAAAATGAGGGTACAAATGAGGATATAATTCCAAGGCTCAACGTAGGGTGGTTAAAATTGCTGCTTTAAAAGCGATCAACGAAAAATATCAAAAATAAATAAATAAATAAAAGATTTTACGAAATTTCAAATAAGGTTACTTGTATGGATCTAAATATGAAGCAGTAAAAAAGCAGCTATAAGTTAGTTGAATGTAATAAAATAACACAGAACGAGGGGCTGGCTGAGAATGTAATAAAATAACACAGAACGAGGGGCTGGCTGAACCGATGGGTTCAGCCTGGGTGTCAACAGGGAGGTTGGACCGGCCAGATTTCTAATGGGTGGGAAATGAGAACGAAGCAGCCTAACTTCCTCTTAATGGAAGTCAACAGTCCTCAAACCTCTTCTTTGAAAGATCACATTCCTCCTAACACCCTCTGAATGAGCAGCCTATTCTGTGACAATAGCATTAAATGCAGCAGACTCAAACTAGGGCGTGCTAGCCTGGATTCAATCACATATCCCTTATAGAATTTGAAAGCACGCTTTGCTTTACCGCCTCAAGATCCTCGCCCAAGGAATATCAAGGCGAATTGTGTTGGTTCAATGTTGCTCGAATGTTGAAGAATCTACTTCTGCACACTTGTGAAGCAGCCCAAAGCCAAAGAATGCAGGAACAATCCAGTCTTATCGCAATACAAATCATGACACGGCTCCTTATCCACAGGGAGCCAAATCCCAGAAGCAAGAAATTCTAAAAATGACTTCCTTTTTTTAAGGGCTAGAAGGAACTTAGTCTAGTTATAGGATGAAATTTTCGCTCTTGAGAAAGAAACAAAGAGAGATATGTTAGTGGAAGCATGAAGTAACGAAACAAATGCAGAATCAGAAGAAGTGAACCATCTTTTTCAAAATTGCCCATGGCTTAAATAAAGATGGCATAGACCGGTAGGAGACGGAATGGATGTCAGATCTTTTCATTTGAGAGAAGCACTAGTTCTACTTTCTCATTTCACATATAGATGACGAGATGAAGTTCTATCATCTTTGTAAGATAAGAGAAGACCGGTCATTTTTAGCGAGGAGGAGACTGCTTTGACTTGGAACATTTTGATCCTATCGTGATGATTTTGCTTAATCTTCATTAAGCAGACATACATTAAGGAAAGGAGTGAAGCAATTCATAAAATTTCCTCGAGGGACTCCGCTCATACCATAACTATCCACTTTGAAAACCAATTTAAATGAATCAATCATTGCAATGGACAATGATGATCTAGATGCGAATGATGAGTAAGAAATGTCTGATGTTTTTTATATTATCACTTTTGAAGGAAAAAACAATAATTTCATTTACCTCGAATACGCACCTTACTTTTGACATTCGTCTCAGGAAGACTAAATAGAGAGAAATTAATGTGATCCCAATTTCTAAGTTCAGCTTATTTGTTTACTAAGGGCCCGTTTGGGGCAGCTTATAAGTGCGGAATGTGATCCCAATTTCTAAGTTCAGTTTATTTGTTTACTAAGTTTAGGCCTATCATTTTCCAATCACCAACACAACATTCATCATGTTTTTCGAGCGAGAGAGCTGCGAATATGACTTCGGCCCCCGAAGGCGATCCAACTTGGTGGCAACAAGAGGGGGAACCTCAAGCTCGGGAGATGGAGAGGTAGCACAAGACTAGACAAGAGGAGGGAAAGGATAGGAGAAGAGGAGGGGAAGTTTGACTTTCATTCCAAACTGAGTTATGGGAAAATAAAAGCTATTTCCTTGTCGCAAAACATGGGTGTGGGTGAGAACAAGGACTTCTACCTTTAAAAGCACCTCAACTACTCATACTTAAATCATTTTGATCTTGTTCTTTTATGAGTCATAGTGTGAAACTCTGCTTCTGAACGAGCTATGAAACTTTCTTTCAAAGAGATGAGTTTTTGTTCAATTCCCCAGCCCAATCCTTATGATGAGTTTTTACCCTCTTGTCTCATAGGCAAGGGTGGTTTTGTCTTTTTTAGATAGTAGGAGCGAGTAAGGAAAGAAGGGTTTGATTGGCTTGTTGTTGTGGTCGGGGAATCAAAAATAGTCCTTTGTTTGTGGCAGGCAGATCAACTGAATCCAAAAGAATGGGATGGACCAAATGGGCGATGGATGTGCCTACATCATATTAATAGAAAATAGAAGGAAATGGGGAATCTGAGGCAAAGCAGGTTCATGCTTGCCCAACGACTAATGAACCCGGAAAGAGAACCTTGTTCATGCTAATCTCTTTCACTTGGAGACTATAACTTTATTATAAGTCATAAGCCATGTGCTCGACCGTTGCTTGGATGCTTGCTCCTGAAATAACAACAATGGAATCCCAAATCTTGGATTTTCATGTTTCTTCCCCTATGGCGCCCAACGACATTCCCTCAGCAACGATTTCATGTTCTATTCTTTGCCTATGAATTAGTATCAGATTGGCAACGGGTAACAAGCTGTATTTGGATTCAACTCCTTGATTCTTACCTGGACTTGCAATGGATTAATTGCTTCGATGTTTTCTCGGAACGGGGTCAACTCAATATCAAGAGACTTACCCACCGAGGACTTTATTGCAACCCTTATGTCACCATCTCTCGAGTCGAGCTCAATCTCTGGCAGGTATTCTTTGGTCTGGATGAATGTGATCTCAGAGCTATACTCGTGCTAGCCTTGCCAGTATGGTAGTTAGAGCTGTAGCTAAGTAATTGAATGAAAAAGAAATTCGTAACAAGGATCGTGAGCATATCTAGCTTTCTTAATTCTTTCTTTTCTCCTCTTCCTCTTAGGAGGAGTCAAAGTAGTGGGAAACTCAGTATCCTGTCTCTTTGGCTATAGTAATGATATTTTGTTGAAGAATGCGAAATTAATTTTTGGGAAAGAAGCTTTTGCTTCTCTGATTTCAGATTTCAAGCCATCATGCACTTTTCCCCTTGCTAAGGGTTGTATACAAGGACAGGTGGTGTTCCGACAGTAACTTGCTCCGAGGTGGTGGTTATCTCCGCCATTCGTCGTCATCTTTTCCCCCTCCAGCTCGTTGCCCGCCCCTTGCACCTCTTCCCTACCGATTTATATTGTTGGATCACCCAACAACCAACAGCAAGAAGCTTGGATTTGGACGGCCCCTTATTTGAGGCCACCAACCCACCAACAACAACTGAGTGTCATTGATCCCTCCTAACCTCAATAGCCGCCAGCTTTCACCCCACGTACACCCACTACCGCCAATCTTCTCGCGCCCAAGCCATTGTCACCACTCTTGCCTAGCCCCTCCCTATTACTACCAACCACACCAGCAACCTCATCCGCTACCGCAACCCCTTCAAGCATCTGATTGTCACCACATCCTCTGCTTCCTCCACTCAACTGCAACCACAACCACTCCATTCTCCACTACCCCCTGCTATTCAGCCAGGGTTCATCACTGCCTTCCTCGCCACGGGATCTCG